GCTCGGCAGCCGATTTGAGCGGACTGGGTCGATGGACGATCTCAACCGTGCCTTGTCCTATCATAAGGATGGTTGGGCTTGCTATACTTCTCCACCATCTACCCGCATTGTTTCGGCTCGGCGCAGCGCTAACATCCTTACCTCTCAACTAAGGTGGGAAGAAGCAAGTGACTTCCTACAAGGCGCCGTAAAGCTTCTCCCTATTGTGAGCCCACGGCTGCTAGGGAATAATGACAAGCAGCATATGCTCGGACAGTTTTCCGGTTTGGCTTCTATGGCTGCAGCTATCTGGCTAAAAGCAGGAAAAGATGAGCATCTGGCCTTGGAGCTATTAGAGCTGGGCCGTTGCGTTATTGCTGGGCTTTTGTTAGAGATGCGCACAGACATCTCTGATCTTAAACAGCAGTATCCCATGTTAGCAGCGGAGTTCGAAACTCTTCGGAATAAGCTAGACTCACCTCCTAGTGAGACAACTTTACTAGGAGATACTGCATCTCCGTGGAAAGTCCAGGCAAATCAACGGCTAGAAGCAGACAAAAGACTAAAAGAGCTTATTACGGAGATACGTGGTCAGCCTGACTTTCAGAACTTCCTTCTCCCGCCAACTCATGAAGAACTTATGGCTGCTGCTAGCCAAGGCCCCATCGTCATTATCAACGTAAGCTCTTACCGTTGTGATGCGTTTCTTATTACGCATTATCAAGTAAAGGTCTTAGCGCTGCCCAACCTAAAAGAGGTCGAACTCAACAAAAGAATCCAGCAGCATTCAGTTGGATCAACATCAACCCTACAATGGCTATGGAACGTTGCTGCAGGCCCCATTCTAGACGCACTAGGCTACCAGCACCTACCCTTAGACAATAACTGGCCTCAGGTCTGGTGGATTCCCACAGGAGCACTAAGCCACTTTCCGATTCACGCAGCAGGATTCCACACCAAAGGATCAACCAAGACAGTGCTCGATAGAGTCATGTCATCCTACACTTCGTCTGTAAAGGCACTGATATACGGGCGCCGTCATAGTGTACAGAAGCCTACGGGGCCAGGCCTGGAGCAAGCTCTCCTAGTTGCAATGCGCGACACTCCCAGTCTATCAAGAAACTCAGTCCTCCCTTTTGCCGCTAGGGAAGTGGACATAGTTGCCGGTCTCTGTCCGTCGCTGCAGCTTAAGCCAGTTACACCATCAAAACGCAGGGAAGAAGTTCTGGCGCACTTGCGAGCCTGCAAGATCTTCCACTTTGCTGGCCATGGACGTTCAGATCCCCTAGATCCTTCGCGAAGCTGTCTGCTTCTAGATGACTGGACTAAGACCCCGTTAACTGTAGGAGATCTCCGCGACTCTAATATCCAAGAGAGCTCTCCATTCCTTGGCTATCTCTCAGCCTGCTCGACTAGCGCAAACAAGGTGGACAGGCTTGTTGATGAGGGAATTCACCTAGCGAGCGCGTTCCAACTTGCGGGGTTCAGGCACGTTATCGGAACGCTCTGGGAAGTATCTGATAGCCACTGTGTGGACGCTGCTAGGGTGGTGTACGAGACAATCCAGAACAAAGGTATGACGGACGTGGCGGTACGCCAGGGCCTCCACCGGGCGGTCAAGGGGCTACGGGACGGGCACGTGGAGTGGACAAGAGAGGCGAGAGATGCGGAGCTTAGCGATGAGGAGCTTTGTGACGAGGGTTGTGAGAGTCCGCTACAGAGTCCTCTGTATTGGGCTCCGTACATTCATTTTGGCGTCTAGGCGTTACTGAGTCGGATTTGAATTTGAAGCGGATTTCGATTTTAGGTAGCAAGGTTTCTTGTTGTTCTTCCTTGCACAGTTTCTCCTTATCTAGAATTCCAGAATACATGATTTAGAAGTACCGATTCTCTAGAACGTACTAGCAGGTTGCTTGCATATCACTAGGGATCAGTCAGCAAGCCAATGCTCCTGTGTTGGGGGGTGGCTGACCGACGCTTGAGTGGCGAATCTCCACCAGCAGAATCAATTTGGATGCACTAAAAGTAACGTTAACGTAGGTGATAGGGTTTTCACCGACACCATAGTTTTACCCGAAAGGAACACCAAAATTCTGCGCTATGGCCACCCCACCCAATTTTGTATGGAAACAGCACATCACAGCATCACGTAGGCTAGATAGATTTTGAAGCCGGATTTTCCAGAGAGCTCTGTATACACGGCCTGTTTCATGGTGTTGTAGTTGTAGCTAGCTACTCGTCATCGCTCTCTCCACTCTCATCGCTCTCCTCACTACTACTACTACTACTCTCTACCTCCACCTCCTTCCTAGCCGCCTCCTTTATAGCCCGTGCAGCCGCTTCCAGGTCCTTCACTAGCTTTGTAGCTGCTTCGGAGTTGAGCTGTGCAGCGTCAAATTCATCTGCACGCGCCTTGGCAGTTTCTTCAGCCAAATTAAAAGCTTCCTGAGCCACTATAGCCGCCTCTATAGCCTCCTCTGTTTGTTTCTTCCGGGCAACAGCGAGAGCGCTAGCAAGTACTTGTTCTGCTTGCTTGGCTACTTTTCCTGCTTCACCTGATAGCCGCTTGGTGTTTGCCAGATGGTCTTTTGCAGTCTTGGCAGCAGCTCGAGCGTACTTAGGTTGCAAATTGACGGAGTACGTATTCCTAGCCAGCTAGCCTACGGAGTGTGGTACGGCTAGCGTCGGCTACCTTAATATAGAACACGGTTCCTATATTTAGCCCTCACAGTTCTACGGTACGGCTACGTAAGCCTCCACACACAGGAGTATATATACGGCGTACGTAGCCTAGATAGATGCTCATCCAATACATCACTTACCTCGTTCAATGCATTGTTTCACCTCCATCCTCACAAATTGACGTGAACTCTGTTTGATTTGTGAAGCCGTACGAGCAGACTATATACTACATAGGGAGCGTAGGCATAAGTACTAATTAGAGGCAGCAGTAGGCAGCGGTAGGCAGGGTAGGCCACCGTACCCCAACCCCTCTCTGTAGAAGTTGTAATTGGCTAGGCACGTAGGCCGGAAACCCTGAGTAGCGTCCTTTCTCTTTTGAAGTTGAACAGCGTCCTCCTGCTTAGCTTGCTCACGGACAGCCTTAGCAGCCTGTCTAAGAGATTTAGCAGCAGCCTTTGCCTCCTCTGTCGCCTTCTTAGCCGCTGCTAGTTGCCGCATTGCCTCTGCGGTGAGAACTGACTCTGTAGAAAGTTTTACACGCTTTTTTGACTTCCTAGCTTTCCGCTCGCTTGTGTGATAATATAGGTCGGTGTTTTCCTTATGCAGGATTGTAACTTCTTCCTCTAAGGATAATAGATATTGAAATATCTTGTCTGTAATTGCTTTGGTCTGCTCGGGTGTCTTGGCGTCCTGGATAAGCGTAAATGCAGTCCTATCTTAGTGTTGACGAGTAGACGGAGTAGGCGGATGCAGCGGTGAGGATAGCACGTTGAGGAGCTCTGCTGGGGGTGGTGTTGCCGGCCGATCTACCCGCCTGCACCGAGCAAGCGCCCGTTCAGGATTATAAGGTAGAATACCAGCGGCTTCAAATGACTTCTTTATGAGCTCAGGAGTATAGATTTCTGGACAAATCTCGCCCAAAATCTTAAGGAAGTACTCCTTGTTTAACCCTGTAACTCCGAAGGCTGAGTACTCATCAACTTTGGATAAATATAACCGCTTAAGCTTGGAAAAGATAACCAAATCAAGCGGTTGCATTATGTGGGTAGAATAAGGAGGTAGGCAGATAGGAATAATCTTATTCTCCCAGCAGAAGCTTACAAAGTTGAGGTTTATATGAGAGCTGTGGCCGTCCATGATAAGTAGGCGATAGCCATAGTGTTGAGCTTCATCCTTATCCAGAGTCGGCTCTGGCTCCGGCTCTGGCTGCTTTGATGCTTTGTTAGCTCGGCCTAGCATAATATTTGGTGAGGACTCACCGGTTTTAAATGCGCTTCAAAGTGTTTGAGCCATTCTAGGCCTACCTCTGCATTACTCCACCCATTCTCTGTAAGGCCAATTGTACATTCTCCAAGCGATATCATGGCTTCCTCCCACATTGCCTGAGTATATTGTTTACCCTTAAACACTAGAAAAGGCGGAATAGTTCTTCCAGTTGCGCAGATAGAATTAATCTGCGTTACCCATTCTCTCGAGCCGTCCACAGTTTTGAAGTTATTATGGAAATCTTGGAAGATTACAACTCTAGCGGAGTATGCAAGCCCTATTAAGAAGCCAGTTTCGTCCATATTCCATACATTTTCGTCCCGAATATTATATAGCTTTCTAGCCGCAGAATAGTTGTTGAAAAAGCGCTTAATTCTCCCAGGATCATTGTTAGCTAGAGCGCGCTCTAGTTCTAGAGAACGAACATAACAAATTCGCAGCTCTTCTTGACGCTGAAGGAAGTTATAGATCCACCGCTTTCCTAAGGGATCCAGAGATGTATATATCGGGAGAGGCCCGGCTTCACGGTGGAGTACAGTCGTTGTTATGGTCCGGATGACTCTGTAGCGGCATGGAAATCCAGCCTTAGCAAGGTAGATGCAATGGCGGACTATAGAATCTTCGCCGGCCGGAGTTATCCTATATTGATTCGTGTGGGCAACCTTAAAAGATTGGTGTTTCCCGCTGAGGCGATCTCTGAATGTCTTGGGGTCCACTCCGTGAGACTTTGCACAAGATTCCCGGCTCTTGTAGAGGTCGCCGCGTCGCCAGGCAGTTATGGCCTTCTGCATAGCCTCCTCTGCATCAGGCGCACGAGGCCAGCGAGGCATAAGAGGTAGTTTTGTGGTGTTGAGAACCCGATAGAGCATCACAAAATGCATGGTGTTGAGGTTTGAGGGGGCAAATTTTTTGGCGCTAAACTATATTTGGAAGGTCTATCCGATTTCGGGTAAAACTATGGTGTCGGTGAAAACCCTATCACCTACGTTAGTGGAAAAACTTTAGGAATATAGATTCGAGCGGAACCTCTGTACCGTTTTCCAGCGCTAGTAGAGAGGGTGGCCGACCCGCTCTGGCCATGGGGTTCGTGAGTTCTAATTGTGATATGGAAGTACTTGTACAGTGGCAAATCACGTGTTTGGAAGTGTGGCGGTGGGTGGCGCTTTACCAGATGTGAAGGGTGGCATGCCAAGCTAGAGCGGGGCAGACTTCGTCAAAACAGCTTGTGAGGGGAAGCCAGTTTGGGTGCTTGACTTCCCAGTGCTATGTATTACTGTACAAGGTTAGAGCAAGCGTAGGAGCAGACAGTGACGCTGTCGAGACGTTTCGCTGGTGCCCGTGAGGGTAGTACTGTACATCCGAGGGGAGCTGGTTTTCGCCAATAAGATGGTCTACTTTACGCGGTCACGTGATTGCGATAGGAGGACGAGAACTCTGCATCGGCCTCCGGCCCCAACACCGCATCGCTGAGTGTTTCGAGCCCCTATCGCCACCACGTTATCTACGCAGCCAGTAGAGCCTTGTTCTACCCGCCCACCGTCCCTTTCTGTTTTGTATATAGAGCTAGTTGCCTCGCTATATAGAGTGCGTTAGGAGGTCTCCTTTGGAGCGTACGAGCTGCCGAGCAACCTCAGGAGTAGAGAGGCTTGGCAAGGCTGAGGCCTACGGCCTCAGCTCACGTGCAGGCGCCCTCAACACCACGAGTTGGCCCTTGGCAGCCGATTGTACGCCTCCTACGGAGGCTTCCGTGCCCAATTGTACGCAAGTGATCATATATCTGCTCACTGTGCGTGCACCCGTGCGTCGCTCCGGCCAGCCGGCTATGAGCCTAGCTGGGTGGCCTACCCGGCTGACGTATGAGCGTCAAATAGACTGTAAAATCGTACCTTTCAGAGTAATTTACATACGCTAACTAGCTTAGTGTAAATGAGTCATCCTCAAGACAGGTGCTAAGCCTTACTGCTTACAGGATGGCGTTTGCGGGACCCTTGTTCAGTTAGGTGGGGTAAAAATCTGGCAGAGTGTTTGGGTAGAAGCCGATTTTGCAAGCGACTGTATGTGCTGTGGTGGGGCGATGAGCACAGATTGATCGCACCACCTTTTTGTCCTCGGCCCACCAAAAACGGCGCCACATAGTGGAGGTCAAATCTGGATATCCGTCTGCGTTTGCGCCTTCCCACAAGTGGCAGGAGACACAATTCAGATACCCATCATCTTTAGTGACATTCACCTATAAAAACTAACGTAGGCTTTTTCAGTTCTATTCCAAAGGCAGAAAATGAATCCTATTGGCTGTGCAGGGGGCATCCCAAGAGTATGATCTCGTTGTGACGGAGTACGTGTTTGTATCCTATATTTAGCCCTCTTAGTAATACGGTATGCTTGGTAAGAAGCTGTACCAGAACCAGCTGGAACCAGCTAGAACCAGCGATACGGCTTACAAAGCCTACCCATACGCAGTATATATACTGCGCATGTAAGATAGATAGTTCCTCACTCAATACATTACCTAACCCGTTCAACGTATTGTTTCACAACCATCCTCACGTTGGGATGCCCCAAGCCGCCAAAGGCAGCATGTTTCCTCACAGTGCCGCTTGTCGCGAAGTCGTGAGCCACCGGACTTACAGAAAGACCAGACCTTATACTGTAGCGACGGACGAGACAGTTGATCTGTTGCTGCACGCTACGATTGAAGTGATTTCGGCCTTTGGCGAGAAAATGGAGTGTTACAGTATAACCAAGCATGCACGTTATATGAGACCAGCTGAATAGAACCCTGCGCAGCTGAAAAGCTTCTCTGTAGAAGTTGTAATTGGCTGGGCACGTAGGCCCAGAACCCTGAGTCAAGGCAGCATATAAGCATGCAGCTGCAACCACGAAGCCAGAGAGCGTAGAGTGCGCTCTCTCGTGGCTAGCAGTCTGGTAGCGGATTGTGCGAGCTGGTGGATTGTGCGCGCTTGTGAATCGTGCGATTGTAGTTCAGCAAATAGTGTCCTGGGACAGATGTCCTGGTACGAACAGTGTCTGTTGAACAAGTGATAGTATTGACTTGATTGTGTGGCTATGGATGGGCGGGGTGCCTCATATATGTCGCGTTGTCTCAGCCACCATTAACCGTGACATTCAACACTCCCACTCGATGGCTACCTTCACTAAGAAGAGTGCCAGCGACCATTTGTCACGGCTCTGACAGACCCCGTTAAAACCTTCAAAAACCTTTAAGGCAAAAAGAAGGAAAGGGTGCCTGTGTGTTCTGCCTCTGCTCGAAGCTGATAGTTCGTGCGGATCACTCGATACCTAGCCCTCTCCGAAACCATTCAAATCTGTCTCGTGCAAGAGGCTTGGTGAACCTATCAGCGATTTGTGCTGTAGTTGGAACATACTTCAGTTCAACTGTTCCAGCGTCTTGAACCTCTCCTTGCCACTTGCGCTGGATTTCCATATGCTTCGTGCGTGAGTGGTACTGTGGGTTCGAGGATAGAGCAATGGCTCCCTAGTTGTCGCCACATATAATTGTTGCAGCTTTTCCTTGGCCTATATTCAGCTTATTAAGGAGTCTTCTTAACTAGATTACTTCCTTAGTTGCTTATATCTATCCTATAAATTCTGCTTTACAGGTTAACAGAGCAACAACGCTTTAGCGCTTAGACTGCTAGCTAATTGCTCTGCTCCCGATATTAAATAGATATCCAGCCGTTAATTATTTTATATCGCGACACCCGGCCCAGTCTGCGTCTATAAAGCCTTTTAATATTTAGAGGTATTTTTTATATATAAGTCTAAGATCTTTTATACTTTTAAGGTGTTATAAAATATATTAAGCAAGCTTTATATACTATAGCCTAGGATTTACTAAATACCGGCTTACTATAGAAACTGTATATATAATATCTCCTCTAGTTCTAAGTATAATATATATTAAAAATCCTACTATACGTTAGTATTCCGTTTTTTAATTTAGCAGGCAGTTATATTCTAGGTTGTTCTCTAGTAGTAGTAAGGTTTTAATCGGCGTACTAACAGGAGCGCAGTCGCTAATTCCGAACTAGTAAACAACCTTATTAATATAGGCTTCTTAGCTTAGGTATAGTATTCTATTCTAATAGTCTTACTAGATAGATATACTAAAATAGTAGCTATATAGTCTAAGGTCTATTATTTAGAAACGGTTTTTAAGGCCTCTTTTAATTTTCTTAATTTCTGCAATACTTAGTCTAATAATTAGAAAGTTATTAATATAGGACGAGCTTAATTACCACCCCCTATTTCTCTCCGTATTACCCCCCTTTTCTCTTCCTACTACCCCCCCCTATATTTAGCCTAGCTCCGGCCGGTAATAACTTTGTTCTACTAATTAGATTTACTTATTTATGCAAATTAGAAAGGATATATACACGAATTAGAAAGGCTATATAAATTAGAAAGGATATATATATATGCAGTAATAGTCTATTTACTCTCTTTACTATAGCTAGAAGCGGAAAGCTCCTAGATAACTACTTTTAATTGCTAATTAAAAGGAACGCTGTATATACTATTATACTAAGGTCTTACACCCGAAGATCCTTCTGCTATACTAGCTCCTTTACTATAAATAGCCTTCTCCTTAGAAGTAGATAGAGGGCTATTCTTAAGGGCTAGTTAACTATCGGAGACTAAGGAAATAAAGCCCTGGGTCGCTGTTAGGGTGCCTGCTTATCCGGTAGAAAAAGAGGTCCGGTGCTATATTAGTAAATTAAGACCGTTATTTAACACTACTATCGCCTAAGCGATAACCTAATTAGTAGAACAAAGTTATTACGAGCCGAAGCTAGCTAAATATAGGGGGGGTAGTAGGAAGAGAAAAAAAAGGTGGTGCGGAGAGAAAGGGAAGGTGGTAATTAAGCTCGTTTTTAATATATACTATAATATATATAACGTATTCTACTACTAAGCCGGCTAAACTACTAAGCCGGCTACTTTTCCTTAGTATAACCAACACTATATGCGCGCAGTTAATTTATTCGCAACTAGCTATAGAACTTATATATAACACACTTAGATTAGATTTAGAAAAAGCTTTTTAATCCTTTTTATATATATATATATTATACCTAGCCTCTCTATAGTTTCTATAGCGCTGTTAAGCTAGTAAAGCCCTATTTATACTATTTCTACTACCTACCTTTTTCCGTAGATTAGATGCTCTAGACACTTTAGCAGCTATATATAACGCTGCTATACTATACTTTATTATACCGCCAGTCTGGATTTGCTTTCTTTTACAACCTTTACGCTTAGTTATCTCTACTAGTTGCTTTTTAAGCTTTTTAACCCGGGCTTTAATAAGTATATTTTCGTGTAGCATCTCTTCGGCTCCTTTAATAAGCTTTAAGAAGCCTTTTTAGGCGGTTATTAGTAACCGTATAAAGGAATTGCTTACTAGCCTTAACTATAATCCAAATTTATATATATTACTTAAGGTTTTTAATTACTATAGTATTTCTAGTAGAGGTGCTAGTAGTAGGGTCTATAACCGTATATTAAGGCAATTAAAAACTACCTGCATATTAATAGGAACTAATTTAGAGGCCTTAAAGGCCTTCTTACAGTTCTTATATATAAATATATTAAAAAAAGCGTTTTTAAAGGCTAGTAGGAAGCCTTCTTTATTAATATAGTAGACGCGTCGGCGTGCTAAGTTTTATATATATTAAGAGTACTTTAGCTTTAATAGTAAAAAGCATACTATATTAAGTAGCTAAAGTATATATAATAAATGCGCAGGTATATAGAGGGTAAGGATTTATTATTTAATATAATAATCCTTAAAATCTTAGTTAAGGTGGCTCTTATAGCCGTCTAAAATTAGTAACCTATATAACTCCACCTAATACGCCTTTATATACGTATTAAGGTGCTTTAACTACTTAAGACTAAGCTTATTATTAGTCCAGCTGTTTTTAGAGATAAAAAGCTTTTAATTATATAGTATCTCTGCTTTTTTATACTATATAGAGATATAAACGCGTTTTTTATAAATAATAAATAGTAGGGTTGTATATCTAGTAGCGCAGATGCTCTAGATAACTATAACCTACTCTTAGTTACCTAGTTAAATAAGATTAGGCCTTATATATCTCTCTAAACCTGTAATAACCTTTATTATACTAATTATACCTATTTAAAAGCTAGTCTTATTAAAGTTGTAGATATTATCTAAGTAGATGCTATACTTAGCTATAGTCTTTTATATAAGAGTAAACTATATATTAATAACCTCTAGGTTTTCCTAGAGTATCCTCTAGCAGTTCTTTACCTAATTAAAAGCTATTTTAAGCTCCTTTATATAAAATATAAACTATTAAATCTAGTTCTTGCCTACTAGTATCCTACTACGCGCAGCTAGTACTTTATCTGCTATATCTGCCACCTTATATAACCGGGGCACAAATCCTTGCGAGTCTAGGTTAAGGATATATTGTATAATTATATGCTTTTCGGTCGCAGTAAGCTTTAGGCAGTTTAGTCGTAATTAAGGTTAAAATATAATTCCGTGGAGCTAATTAAAGAGCCGCTAATATCGTACGTTAAAGGCTGCTGCAGCGCGTTATATAGTCCTAAATTAACTAGAGGTAAAAGCTTAAAGCGCGAGATTAATACTGCCTTTTTACTAAGATAGATAATTGCTGCGTTGTTAATACATTGCTGTGTAAATATAGTGTTGGTTATGCTAAGGAAAAGTAGCCGGCTCGGTGGTTTAGCCAGCTTAGTAGTAGAATACGTTATTACTTTATATAAAAATTCTAAGGTTAGTATTAATTAGTTTAAAGCTAAGGCTATATAGGAAGTTTATAAAGGTTTAATACTAAATATATAGTACTTACTTTAAGCTATAGAGCGCCTTTTAAAGTTTATAGACCTTTAGTATACTATCTATTATATTATAAAACTATTTAACGTAGATTTTATAGTTTATATCTTTATATAGAAATACTATTTTAATATCTATCTATTTAATTTTAAAACTAAGAGCGGCCCTAATTATAAATAGGGCTTTATAGCTTATTAGCTTAATAACTAAGGCAAATATTTTATTATAGTTAACGCCTTCCTTTTATATAAAGCTTCTTACTACCTATCTACTTTTATAACGGATAACTTCCCTATATTATTATTATTATTAGGTTCTATTAGGCCGATTTAGCTCCTATTAGGGTCTATATAGCAGTGCTATCTAGGTTTTATTTATAAGGGGAAACCGTTTACTTTATAGTAGTTAAGTAAAAACCTTATTTTCTATAGTATATAACGCCTTGCGTTTTTTTTATTTCTGCGCAGCTATAGAAAACGCGTAGCAGCTCTATAAGTATTACTATAGAGTAAGCTATTTTAATATATTTTCTAGGATTAATTCGGTGTTTATAGGCCCTAGGTTCCATGGTTATATAGTATTTAGAAGGTTAGTAAGGTCTGGGGTCTATATTAGGGCGCGCGTGCCCTTACTATACGCGCGTGCCCTTTTTCTTAAAAGCTAAGGTATTAAATTAAAGGATAATAGGAAATTAGGGGGGTTATCCTATTACAGGCGTGCCTATAGTTATATAATATACGTGTATACGTATAGTTCTATTTTTAGGGCGTAGCTATATAAATCGGCTAGCTATATAGCCAGCTTTTCTATTGCTATTTTTCTAGCTATAGAGAGGTAGGGTAGAAGGTCTATTTAGTACAGGAACTATTATAAAACGGCCTTATTTCCCTTATAGTTTTTATATAGCTGTATATATATTTTTATTCTAGCCTTAAAAAATATATTACCTCTACTATTATAGTATTATTTATAGTATATTACTATATACTTTAGAAACTATAGTATATACCTGTAGAGGCACGCAGGCGAAAGGTAATTAGGCACTTTTATATAGTGCAGGTATATATTAAGCCCTATATATTCTGTTTATAGAAGCGTAATAATTAAGCTTTCTACTTTTATAAGCTTATAGTATTTAGTTACCTAATTTTTATTCTATTTTATATTAAGGGCCGGCGTAAAAAGGCCCTTTTGTTTTTTCCTGTGGGCCTTCTATTTATTCCTTTACCTTTCCTTATATACTTCCTATATTGCTTCTTATTTTAAAAGCTTATATAAGTTATTTAACTACCTTTTATACTTTAGGGCTAGTACTATAGCCTTAACTGCGAGCCTTTTTAGTATATTACGCCGGCTTAGCTTATATTTAGGCGTTTTCCTAGGCTTATAGTATTTCCTAATAGTATTTCTAATAGTGCGGCACGTAGTCTTAATATGCTTTTTAGCCTAGCCCGCGCGTATATAGTCTGCGTACGCTACCGCGAGTTTCTCTAGCTTAAGCCTTAAAAGGGGGCAAAAGGTCTTATATTTAAGCGTTTTAATATCTATTGTTTTATACGCCCCTGTAATAGTATAAAAGCAGTAGTTCTAGGCCGTTTTAAGTTGTTTAATTTTTGCTTTGCTAATTTATTCCTTTATACCTAGTGTTAGAAACTAGGTAGTGCACCTATATATAAGGACCGGCCTAATAACTGCTAAGTATATATACTATGCTTTTTAGAAGCTTACGCCCTATATTAATACTATTAGCTGTGTAAGGGCTTCTATTTATACTATAGCCTTTTCCTTTATAATATATATATACGGGCCCTATTTAAGTTTAGAGTCTACCTAGACTTTAAGCACGCAGAGCTCTATAATTAGGCCCTTTATAAAGCCCTAGATATTTACTATAGCCTTTATATTTACTGCATTTAAACAGCGCCTTATAAAGTATATAAAGTAATACTTATCCGGGGTAAATACTATACTATACTTTTTCGCCCACTCTATATACTATACGTGCGCACTTTTAATTGCCCTGCAGTTCTTTTCTATACTTCTGCTAAATATAAAAATATTAGTGTTATTTATAAACCTATAGGCTATTATATTACCTTTTTATAGTGCCGGCAGAAGCGTGCTTATAAAGAATAAGAAGAGGATTAGTAAAAGTAAGAATTTTTATAGTATACCTGTGTTAATGTTAGGTTCGTGGCCGAGAAAAGGGTTATATTGCTATTAACGAGGTTGCGTGGAAAGAAGAGAGGCTCCGGCCACGGGCCTGCTATATAGTTGAGCGCGCGCTAGCAGGCGCCGGCAGAACTCCGGGCGCCGGAAGAACCCTCGGCCCGGGATCACGTGACGTCCATGCACGTGATAATCCGAGGCCTCGATAACTACTAAGAAAATGCTAAGGAACAACGTAACACGTGCCCCCCCTTTTAAAAACCGAGCTCCTGTAAGGATATAGACGTAAAAAGAGACTTACTATATAAACTTACGTAGTAGACAGCTAATATAGGCGTATTACAATAATATAGTAACGTTCTAGTAGTTCTAAGTAGGTAGTGTCTAGTCCTTTAGTTTAATAAAGTAAGCAGGTGGTTTAGGTTTCTATAGGTTGCAGTAGTAGAAATTAAAAACTCTATAAAGGCAGCCTTTAACATTTTTAGATAGTTGCTAGTATCTATATAGCCTTATATTGCTAATATAGTAGACCTTATACTATATATTATTATTTTAAATTTATAAGTTAACTATTTAGGTAACTATCTATTCCTTAACGGGCTTATTATTATTATCGCGCTGTATTAGCTTAGGCGGTGGTGTAGATTTAGGCCGGTCCTAGCCCTTAATTAGCTTAGAAGTATTAAGCCGGAGCAGTAATAGGTGGAAAACGTTATATATCTTAGTGTCGGACGGCAGGTCTAATTAGAAAGCTGCGCCGCGATCGATAACCTTATTAACGCGGAAAAGGCTAATAAACTTATTATTAAGCGCCTTTTTAGCGCGGTCCAGCTTAATATTCTTCGCGTTAAGCTAGACTATATTATTAACGCGTATATCTGCCGCAGTATTACGGTGGCAGTTAGCTTAGTAAGCTTATTCCTTCTAAGCCTATATAATACAGTTCTATAAGTAGACCTTAATATCCTTAAGGCGTTAAGTAAGGTTATTAGCTAGTTCGCGTTTAACCTCCCTATTTTTAGAAATCTTCTTACTGTTAGCTAGAGGCAGTTCTAACTCTAAGCGTGGATTATAGCCGTAATTAGCGAAGAAAAGAAATAGGCCTGTTATAGCTAAAATATAGGTATTAGCAACCAGTTCCGCAGAGGGCAGTAAGTTATACTAGTTGTCTTATATATACTATATATAAGCTCGTAGGTACTTCTTTATATTAGTATTAGCAATTTCCGTCTAACTATCTATTTCTAGGTGGAAGGCGGTGGATATATTAAGTAACGATCGTGACTAACAATAGAGGTGCCGCTAGAACTTAGAGGTGAATTGTATGCTTAAGTTGCTAGTAATAGACGCTGGCAGGCTATAGAGCCGGTATATCTATTAGAAATAGACTTCTATAAGCTTATCCGCTTCTAGTAAAATAATAGTAAGGAAGTAATATTCCTTTAAAAGTTAATTAATTATAATAAGTATATAATAATACTTACGGCCGTAATATTTGCAGATAGGCAGGTCTACAACGTAGTCTATAGCAATATTACGCCAGTAATAAAGTAGGACGGGCAGAGGCTGTAGGAAATCTTGCTTAGTAAAGTTAGATAGCTTAATATTATAGCAGCGTTAGCAGGCGTTAATATACGTTGTAATTAATTTAGTAAACTATA